GTTTTTCTCCTGATGTGGCTATGCAACAATTTAGGCTGAGTCTTTGCCTTGCTTGCGATGTCATTTTCGTATTGTCTTTCTGCCTCTCTTCTCATCCTGACATATTCATTCCTGGCATTCTGGTATCTTTCTCTGCTCTCCAGTGTCCTGTTATTCCTATAGTTTCTCCATGCCCTTTTACTTTGCTGCTTAGCTAGCCCACATCTCTGATTAAACCATGGGTTTCTCATTTTCATTTCTCTGTTTTCCTTTTGGACTGGGACAAACTTGTTTGCTGCGTCCTTGCACTTCTGTGTGATGTAATCCATCATATCTTGGGCCGTCTTTCCCCTGAGCTCTGTTTCCCATGCTATATCTGTTAGGAATTTTCTTATCCCCTCATAGTTTCCCTTTCGGTATGCTAACCTTTTGGTTTCGGTATCCCTCCTCGAGTTCAATAACCCTTCTTCAATCAAGTACTCAAACACCAGTACACTGTGGTCGCTCATTCCTACTGGGTCCTCAAAACCGATTTTTCTTATGTCGGAGTCGTTCAGAGTGAAGACTAGGTCGAGTCTCGCTGGTTCATCATTGCCTCTCATCCTTGTGGGTTCTCCGACATGCTGGGTTAAAAAGTTTCTTGTCACCACCTCCAATAGTTTGGCTCTCCACGTATCCTCGCCTCCATGCGGTTCCTTGTTCTCCCAGTCAATCCTTCCGTGATTGAAGTCGCCCATGATGAGCAGGTGGGATCTATTTCTACAGGCAGCAGAGGCTGCCCTCTCAATTATAGTGTTAACTGCCATGTTGTTGTTTTCATACTCTTGACTGGGTCTTCTGTCATTTGGTGGAGGGTTGTATATTACTGCTACTACTATTCTTGGTCCTCCCATTGTTATGGTGCCTGCTATGTAGTCTCTGAACTCCTCACAGCCCGGGATGGCCATCTCCTTAAAACTCCATTCCTTTCTCATGAGTAGGGCCACTCCGCCTCCTCCCCTACCTTCCCTCTCTTTCCTTATTACTGTGTACTCCTGGGGAAACACGGCATTCGTTATGATTCCAGAGAGTTTTGTTTCAGTGAGTCCGATCACATCTGGGTTAACTTCCTGTGCTCTTTCCCTTAGTTCACTTGTCTTGCTTGTGATCCCATCTATGTTCGAGTACATCACCCTGAAACTGACTCTCTTCTGCTTCTTCTCTGGGGGGGGGGACCTTTGGGATCTGGGGTGAGTGGGAGCTGGGGGGGCCTGGCACGGGGAGACTGGTGGAGGAGGGAGGGCTTGGGGGGGTGGGGGAGGGGGGGGTGGTGGGGGGGAGGGGGGGAGGGGGGGGTGGGTAAGAGGGGGGGGTAGGTAAGAGGGGGAGGGTAGGGGGGAGGGGGAGAGGGGGGGGGGGAGAGGGGGGGGGGGGTTGAGAGGGGAGGGTTGGGGGGTGAGAGCATGGGGGGGGGGAGAGGCTGTGGGGGATAGGGGAGATGGGGGGGGGAGATTGGGGGGGGGGGGGAAAAGGGTGGAGGGCTTGGGGGGCGTGGGGGAAAAAGGAGGGTTGAGGTGGGTGAGGAGAGGGGAGGGTTTAGGGGAGTGGGGGAGAGGGGAAGACTTAGGTGGGGTGGGGGAGAGTGGGGGGCTTAGGGGGGCGGGGGAGAAGGGAGGGCTTGGGGGTGGGAGAGACGGGAAGGCATGTGGAAGAGAGGAGGGCTTGAGGGATGTGGGAGAAGGGAGGTCCTGGGGAGAGGGGTGAGTGGGAGGAGGGGGGGTGCCCTAGGTGGGTACTTAGTGGGGGGCTGACAGGGGATGGGGCAGGTTGGGTGTCTGTTGGGTAGAATGTGGGGGTGGTGCCCCAATCCCTGTGGCTGTTGCACTGTTTGAGGAGGGTTCCCCATTCCCCTCTGAGATTGTAGGGATCGGGGTTGTGGCTCCCCGATTCCTTTCGCTCTCCCTGCGCTCCTTCCTCGCGTCTGCTGCCTGCTTTCTCTCTTCCCTTGTCATATCCCTCTGCAGGAATACTCTTTTGAACTTCTCTACATCTGCTAGACAGCTCTTCCTTTCTAACAGTTCCTCTTTCGCGATTTCGCTCATGAATACCACCTTTATCATTCGGTCTCTGTCCTTGTTGTACTTTCCAAGCCTGAAAACCTTTTCAACATTTTGTTCAGCTCCCTCCATCCTTACCTCTTTTAGGATCTCTTTAACCATGTTTTTGTCCTTGTCTCTCCGCTCCTTTGGTCTGGTCCCTGTTTGCTCTTTAATGCCTGCTACTACTACTGCTCTTTTTCTCTCTATCAGCCGGCTAGTACATCTAGCTGCTTCCTGAGAGGAGGCCACTTCCATGGCAACTTCCTTAACTGCAGACCTAGCTTCAGGGCTCTTTTTAAGCATTTCAGCAAATGAGATCTGGGTTGTGGTGGTCCCATCATCCCTGGGGTACGGTTTGTGCCTGGTATTGTGGAAGAGTCTCCTTTAGGCATCTTATCTCCTCCTTTGCTGCCCTTAGATCATCTTGCAGGTTGGCTACTGTCTCCCCCATTACCCTCAGTCCTTCACTGAATTCATTCCGCATTTGCTGGAGTACTTCCTTCATCCAGTCTTCCTGTTCCACCCGCCATCCTCTGTGTTTGTTCCAGTTGCGAATGTCCTCCTGCGTTTGCCAACCAGAGTTTGTCTCCCTTCCAGGAGGGGGAGAGAGGGAGAGGAGAGAGAGAGAGAGAGAGAGAGAGAGAGAGGAGAGAGGAGGGAGAGAGAGAGAGAGAGAGAGAGAGAGGGAGAGAGAGGAGAGAGAGAGAGTGTGAGTGTGTGTGGGGGGGTGTGGTGGAAGGTGGAAGTGAGGGAGGGGGATGGAGAGGGTGTGTGGGGGTGGATTAGTGCTGGAGGGTTCAGAGAGAGGTGTTTGTGTGTGTGTGTGTGTGTCGGCCTGTGTGTGTGGTCAACTGTGTACTGTTACTGTGTGTGTGCAGTGTGTTGTAAGTGGTGTGTATGTACTGCTGTGTAATGTGTGTATTCACCTAGTTGTACTCACCTAGTTGTTCTGCCTGCGGGGGTTGAGCTCTGGCTCTTTAAAAGTCCCGCCTCTCAACCGTCAATCAACCAGGTGTGTTGCCTGTGTGTGTGTGTGTGTGTGTGTGTGTGTGTGTGTGTGTGTGTGTGTGTGTGTGTGTGGTGTGTGTGTGTGTGTGTGTGTGTGTGTGTGTGTGTGTGTGTGTGTGTGTGTGTGTGTGTGTGTGTGTGTGTGTGTGTGTGTGTGTGTGTGCGTGTGTGTGTGTGTGTGTGTGTGTGTGTGGTGTGTGTGTGTGTGTGTGTGTGTGTGTGTGTGTGTGTGTGTGTGTGTGTGTGTGTGTGTGTGTGTGTGTGTGCGTGTGTGTGTGTGTGTGTGTGTGTGTGTGTGTGCGTGTGTGTGTGTGTGTGTTGTGTGTGTGTGTGTGTGTGTGTGTGTGTGTGTGTGTGTGTGTGTGTGTGTGTGTGTGTTTATTGTGGGGGGTGGCACGGTGAGGGGGTTGGGGTTAACTGGTGGAGGGATGGAGGGAGAGGGAGAGGGGAGTAAAAGGAGAGAGGGGGAGTGAAGGGGAGTGAAAGGGAGTGAGGGAGATTGAGGGAAGAGAGGGAAATAGGCAGAGCGGGGGGGGGGAGGAAGGAGGACAATCAGGGGGGTGAGGGATGGAAGGTCAAGTCCCAGTGGTGAGGGGTGAGGTTGGCGGTAGGCTGGTTTGTGCGTGCGTGTGTGTGTGTGTGTGTGTGTTTACACTGGCGTGTTATGGTGAGGAGGAGGGGGGTAGGTCTAGTCAGTGGCGGTGTAATGTAACATGTGTGTGTAAAACAAATGTAACAAATGTGTGTGTGTGTGTGTGTGTGTGTGTGTACTCACCTAATTGTGTCTGCAGGATCGAGCACTGACTCTTGGATCCCGCCTTTCGAGCATCGGTTGTTTACAGCAATGACTCCTGTCCCATTTCCCTATCATACCTAGTTTTAAAATTATGAATAGTATTTACTTCCACAACCTGTTCCTTAAGTGCATTCCATTTTCCCACTACTCTCACGCTAAAAGAAAACTTCCTAACATCTCTGGGACTCATCTGAGTTTCCAGCTTCCACCCATGTCCCCTCGTTCTGTTACTATTCCGTGTGAACATTTCGTCTATGTCCACTCTGTCATCTCCCTGAGTATTTTATACGTTCCTATCATGTCCCCCATCTCCCTTCTTCTTTCTAGTGTCGTTTTAGGCACAGTTCCCTCAGGCGCTCCTCGTACCCCATCCCTCGTAGCTCTGGGACGAATCTCGTTGCAAACCTCTGAACCTTTTCCAGTTTCCTTATATGCTTCTTCAGATGAGGCTGCATACTCTAAGACTGGCCTCACGTAGGCAGTGTAAAGCGCCCTAAATGCCTCTTTACTTAGGTTTCTGAATGATGATCTAACTTTTGCCAGTGTAGAATACGCTGCTGTCGTTATCCCATTTATATGTGCCTCAGGAGATAGATTAGGTGTTACGTCCACGCCCAGGTCTCTTTCTCGCGTCGTCAAAGGTAGGCAGTTCCCCTTCATTGTGTACTGTCCCTTTGGTCTCCTATCTCCTAGTCCCAGTTCCATAACTTTACATTTGCTCGTATTGAACTCCAGTAGCCATATCTCTTACCATCTCTGCAACCTGTTCAAGTCCTCTAGGAGGGTCCTACAATCCTCATCTGTCACAACTCTTCTCATCCACTTTGCGTCATCCACGAACATCGACATGTAGGACTCTACTTCTGTAAACATGGGGAAATAGTTAGTAGTTAGTAACAGTTGATTGATTGACAGTTGAGAGGCGGGCCGAAAGAGCAAAGCTCAACCCCCGCTATCACAACTAGGTGAATAGAGTCCAGGACACACTGGAGGACACAGTGTGTGTGTGGAGATGACTCAGGGATCGTGAACAAACATTACCCTGGAGGTCGTCTTCTCGGAAGGGTGACCACCGTTGCCTGCAGGAGGGAGGGAGGGTGGCAGGTGTGTGAGGGGGAGACATATATATATACCGCGGGTGTATGGAGGGAGCCAGGTGTGAACAACTGGCTGCTGCTTCAGGACGTCATTATTCTCTACTACACCACCGCCATGGCTCGTCTTCTGCTGCTGGTTGCTGCTCTCTTTGGTCAGTCAGGTTCCTGAGCCTACTGGGCTCTATCATACCTACACTTGACACTGTGTATGGAGTCAGCCTCCACCACATCACTTCCTAATGCATTCCACCTGTTAACTACTCTGACACTGAAAAAGTTCTTTCTTCCGTCCCTGTGGCTCATTTGGGTACTTAGTTTCCATCTGTGTTCCCTTGTTCGCGTACCACCCGTGTTAAACAGTTTAGCTTTATCTGCCCTGTCAATTCCGCTGTGAATTTTGTAGGTAGTGATCATGTCTCCCCTTACTCTTCTGTCTTCCAGTATTGTAAGGTGCATTTCCCGCAGCCTTTCCTCGTAACATATGCCTCTTAGTTCTGGGACTAGTCTAGTGGCATACTTCTGAACTTTTTCAAGCTTCGCCTTGTGCTTGACAAGGTACGGGCTCCATGCTGGGGCCGCATACTCCAGGATTGGTCTTACATATGTAGTATACAAAGTTCTGAATGATTCCTTACACAAAATCCTGAAGGTTGTTCTGATGTTAGCCAGCCTCGCATACGCCGCAGATGTTAATCTTTTTATGTGGGCTTCAGGAGACAGATTTATTGTGATATCAACTCCTAGATCTTTCTCTCTGTCCGTTTCATGAAGGACTTCATCTCTTATTCTGTATCCTGTGTCTGGCCTCCTGTTTCCACCACCTAGTTTCACTACCTTACATTTACTCGGGTTGAACTTTAGTAGCCATTTGTTGGACCATTCATTCAGTTTCTCTAGGTCATCGTGTAGCCTCCTACTATCTTCCTCTGACTTAATCCTCCTCATAATTTTTGCATCATCGGCAAACATTGAGAGAAACGATTCTATACCCTCTGGGAGATCATTTACACATATCAGAAACAGTATAGGCCCAAGGACTGACCCCTGCGGGACTCCACTTGTAACGTCTTGCCAATCTGAGACCTCACCCCTCACACTGACTCGTTGTCTCCTGTTGCTTAGGTACTCCTTTATCCAAAGGAGTACCTTCCCTTCCACTCCTGCTTACATTCACGCACTCAGCAGCTAACTAGCCCCGACTGTTCGACTGGAGTGGTCTTCACAGAGTGCCCTGAGTGGCCGGCACGTTCACTCTGACAACATTAGAGTGCTCAGACCACGCTACTTTAATGGCGGGAATGTCTATACATGGAATAATGTTGTGCAGAGAATCACAGTTTGTGTCTAACCCTCCCTCCCCCTCTCCTCCCTTGACAGTTTTGACCGGGGTTGTGAGTGCTAACGGTCACGGCCAGGGGCAGCCTGCCACCTTCAACTGTCAAGAGGACGGCTACTTCGCGGACACGGGCCGCAAGTGTGTCGTCTACTACCGCTGTGCCAACGGTGACCTGACCGCGTAAGTGTTACCCTGTGTTGGTGTGTGCACGTGATGTGTGTGCTCCACACCTGCACACACCACACCTGTACACGCTACACCTACACACACAACACCAGGCCACACATATGTACACATATTGTATACTACATGTCAGACATTGCATTGGCCATTGCATGCAGACGCAGTGGCCATACAAAGATTGTAGTTTTGAAGAGATGGTAAATCAGGGCTGTGACTGTTTCAGTTACTATGTAACAGGTACAAAAGCAATTGGAGGACAAAAACATATAGTAGTAATCATATATTCATATATAACCCCCCCTCCTACCAATTGACAGAAGACCCAGACAGGAATATGATAGAAACAACATGGCCACCTTTAACATAATAGAGAGAGCAGCTTCTGTGGCTAGCAGGAACGGATCCAGACTACTAATTATAGGAGAGTTCAACCACGGGAAGGTAGATTGGGAGAACAGAGACCCACATGGAGGACCAGACACATGGAGAGCTAAGCTGCTGGACGTGGCAACAAGAAACTTTCTAAGTCAACACATCAAGGGACCGACAAGAATGAGAGGAGAAGATGAACCAGCCATGCTTGATCTGATATTTACCCTAAATGAGTGGGATATAAGGGAAGTTAAGTTGGAAGCCCCCTTGGGAGTGATCACAGTGTATTGAGCTTTGAGTACCTGGTAGAGCTAGGAATTATCTCCCCCAAAACAGAACTATGAAACAAAGGGCTGGCCTACCGAAAGTGGAATTATGAGGAGATGAGACCTTGGGACCTTGGGACACAGACCTTAGAGCTAAGTCTGTACAAGACATGATGGACTATGTCACCCAAAAGTGTCAGGAGGCAGTAAACAGGTTCATCCCGGCCCAAAAGGTAAAAAACTGTGAAACAAAAGAAAAACCCATGGTTTAATAGGGCATGTGTGGAAGCAAAGGAGCTGAACCAAAGGGCGTGGAGGAACTTTTGGAATAACAGAACCCCTGAGAGCAGAGAGAGAGAGATAACAGAAAACCAGGAATGAGTATGTTATTGTGAGAAGAAAAGCAGAGAAAAAGTATGAAAATGATGTAGCAAATAAAGCCAAAACTGAACCAAAGCTACTACACAGTCACATCAGGAGGAAAACAACAGTGAAGGAATAGGTGATGAAACTTAGAACGGGTTAGGACAGGTACACAGAGAATGACAAAGAGGTGTGTGAAGAACTCAACAAGAGGTTCCAGGAGGTCTTCACAATAGAACAAGGTGAGGTCACGGCGCTAGGAGAGGTGGCAACAAACCAGGCGGCCTTGGAAGGGGTCGAAATTACAAGAGATGAGGTCAAGAGACACTTGTTGGATCTGGATGCGAGAAAGGCTGTTGGTCCGGACGGAATCTCACCACGTGTATTGAAAGAATGTGCAGAAGCACTTTGCTTGCCACTTTCCATAGTGTATAGTAGGTCACTAGAGACGAGAGACCTACCAGAAATATGGAAGACGGCTAATGTAGTCCCAATATACAAAAAGGGTGACATACAAGAGGCACTGAACTACAGGCCAGTGTCCTTAACTTATATACCATGCAAGGTGATGGAGAAGATTGTGAGAAAAAACCTAGTAACACATCTGGAGAGAAGAGACTTCGTGACAACCCATCGACATGGGTTCAGGGAGGGTAAATCTTGCCCTACAGGCTTAATAAAATTCTATGATCAGGTGACAAAGATTAAGCAAGAAAGATAAGGCTGGGCGGACTGCAATTGCCTGGACTGTCGGAAAGCCTTTGACACAGTACCCCATAAGAGGCTGGCACATAAGCTGGAGAAACAGGCAGGAATAACTGGTAAGGTGCTCCAGTGGATAAGAGAGTACCTAAGCAATAGGAAGCAGAGAATTACAGTGAGGGATGAGACCTAAGATTGGCGTGAAGTCACCAGTGGAGTCCCACAGGGCTCTGTGCTTGGACCTATCCTGTTTCTGATATACGTAAATGATCTCCCAGAGGGTGATTCCTCTCCATGACTCATTCCTCTCCATGTTTGCTGACGACGCCAAAATTATGAGAAGATTAAGACAGGAGGACAGCTTGAGGCTTCAAGAAGACCTGGACAAGCTGCAGGAATGGTCGAACAAATGGTTGTTGGAGTTTGACCCGAACAAATGTAATGTAATGGCGAAAGGTAAAGAGAGCAGGAGGCCAGATACAAGATATCGTTTGGGAGATGAAATTGTTCAAGAATCAGAGAGAAAGACCTGGGGGTTGATATCATGCCAGACCAGTACCCAGAAACTCATATCAAGAGGATAACATCAGCGGCATATGCCAGGATGACCAACATAAGAACGGCCTTTAGAAACTTGTGTAAGGAATCATTAAGAACCTTGTATACCACATATGTCAGACCAATCCTGGAGTATGCAGCTCCAGCATGGAGCCCATATCTCGTCAAGCATAAGACTAAACTGGAGAATATTAGGTTTCTCCCACATACACGGCCCACACCACCGTGTATGGCCTGCGTCTCCCACATACACGGCCCACACCACCGTGTATGGCCTGCCTCTCCCACATACACGGCCCACACCACCGTGTATGGCCTGCGTCTCCCACATACACGGCCCACACCACCGTGTATGGCCTGCCTCTCCCACATACACGGCCCACACCACCGTGTGTGGCCTGCCTCTCCCACATACACGGCCCACACCACCGTGTGTGGCCTGCGTCTCCCACATACACGGCCCACACCACCGTGTGTGGCCTGCCTCTCCCACATACACGGCCCACACCACCGTGTATGGCCTGCCTCTCCCACATACACGGCCCACACCACCGTGTGTGGCCTGCCTCTCCCACATACACGGCCCACACCACCGTGTATGGCCTGCCTCTCCCACATACACGGCCCACACCACCGTGTATGGCCTGCCTCTCCCACATACACGGCCCACACCACCGTGTGTGGCCTGCCTCTCCCACATACACGGCCCACACCACCGTGTATGGCCTGCCTCTCCCACATACACGGCCCACACCACCGTGTATGGCCTGCGTCTCCCACATACACGGCCCACACCACCGTGTATGGCCTGCCTCTCCCACATACACGGCCCACACCACCGTGTGTGGCCTGCCTCTCCCACATACACGGCCCACACCACCGTGTGTGGCCTGCCTCTCCCACATACACGGCCCACACCACCGTGTATGGCCTGCGTCTCCCACATACACGGCCCACACCACCGTGTATGGCCTGCCTCTCCCACATACACGGCCCACACCACCGTGTGTGGCCTGCCTCTCCCACATACACGGCCCACACCACCGTGTGTGGCCTGCGTCTCCCACATACACGGCCCACACCACCGTGTATGGCCTGCCTCTCCCACATACACGGCCCACACCACCGTGTATGGCCTGCCTCTCCCACATACACGGCCCACACCACCGTGTATGGCCTGCCTCTCCCACATACACGGCCCACACCACCGTGTATGGCCTGCCTCTCCCACATACACGGCCCACACCACCGTGTATGGCCTGCCTCTCCCACATACACGGCCCACACCACCGTGTATGGCCTGCGTCTCCCACATACACGGCCCACACCACCGTGTATGGCCTGCCTCTCCCACATACACGGCCCACACCACCGTGTATGGCCTGCCTCTCCCACATACACGGCCCACACCACCGTGTATGGCCTGCGTCTCCCACATACACGGCCCACACCACCGTGTATGGCCTGCCTCTCCCACATACACGGCCCACACCACCGTGTATGGCCTGCCTCTCCCACATACACGGCCCACACCACCGTGTATGGCCTGCCTCTCCCACATACACGGCCCACACCACCGTGTATGGCCTGCGTCTCCCACATACACGGCCCACACCACCGTGTATGGCCTGCCTCTCCCACATACACGGCCCACACCACCGTGTATGGCCTGCCTCTCCCACATACACGGCCCACACCACCGTGTATGGCCTGCCTCTCCCACATACACGGCCCACACCACCGTGTATGGCCTGCGTCTCCCACATGTGACCGTGGGTGTGGGTGTGGGTGTGGGGGGGGGTGAACGTGGGGTGCGCGTGGATGTGGGTGGTAAACAGCGATGACCTGACCCCATTGACCTCTTGCTCTCCCGCAGGTTTGGCTGCGACAAGGGGTTCCTCTTCGACCAGGGCAAGAGTAGGTGCCTCCCCTCCGCCACCGTCTCCTGCTAGTGAGGTTCCTCCTCCACAAGAGGCCCAGCTCTGACTCCTCTTACTGTCTCCTGCAACGATAATGGGGCTCTATATTGCCTCTTTATCCCGGGTTGTGTTAGAGCTCTGTGTGATGCAGACTGATGCTCTATGTCACTCTTGTAGTCTCTTTCCTGGTTCTGACTCTTGAAGAGAAGAGCTCCCCCCCTCTCACACACACACACACACACACACACACACACACACACACACACACACACACACACACACACACACACACACACACACACACACACACACACACACACACACACACACACACACACACACACACACACACACACACACACACACACACACACACACACACACACACACACACACACACACCGAGCTTCAGACGGTTTCAATAAAAAGTTAATACTGAACAGAGTTTTCATTGTCCTCTTGTTTACCAGCAGAACCTTCCAGAACTCTTTATTTATGTTGTCTACCTCAGATACATGTTGTCTAACACAGGACCCCGCTCACAGGCACATACAGGCTCTGTGATATGTGGGACAGTCACATATTGCTCCCTGAGACATTCATGCCCCTGTTATCTTGTCCAATACTATCACAAAACGATAGCAGGCGGGCTGTCCACCTTGCTGACAACCACGTTATGATAGCAGGAGGGCTGTCCACCTTGCTGACACCACGTTATGATAGCAGGCGGGCTGTCCACCTTGCTGACACCACGTTATGATAGCAGGCGGGCTGTCCACCTTGTTGACACCACGTTATGATAGCACACGGGCTGTCCACCTTGTTGACACCATGTTATAATTGCAGGCGGGCTGTCCACCTTGCTGACACCATGTTATGATAGCAGGCGGGCTGTCCACCTTGCTGACACCATATTATAATTGCAGACGGGCTGTCCACTTGCTGACACCATGTTATGATAGCAAGTGGGCTGTCCACCTTGCTGACACCATGTTATGATAGCAGGCGGGCTGTCCACCTTGCTGACACCATGTCATGATAGCAGGCGGGCTGTCCACCTTGCTGACAACATGTCATGATAGCAGGCGGGCTGTCCACCTTGCTGACACCATGTTATGATAGCAAGTGGGCTGTCCGCCTTGCTGACACCATGTCATGATAGCAGGCGGGCTGTCCACCTTGCTGACAACATGTTATGATAGCAGGCGGGCTGTCCACCTTGCTGACACCATGTTATGATAGCAGGCGTACTGTCCACCTTGCTGACACCATGTTATGATAGCAAGTGGGCTGTCCGCCTTGCTGACACCATGTCATGGTGTAACACTGTAAAAGGTGTTTGGTTTAGTTGTATTTAAAATACATAGAGATACATGAGTCACAGACAGGGATTTGAGAAGGCGCCAGTTTTTCGGCCGGAAAGTCACACCTCTAAGCGTTAATGACACCAAGTGACCTGAGGTCAGATCATGCGAATTTCACCTTGCTTCCGCTAATCTTATAATTTGAGTCTGGTAGCTTTCAAACATGCCGACGTTTAAGGAGTGGCTTGGTAGAGTGCCTGAGGCTATCTACTTGTGGGCGGAGTTAGTTACTAGGTTCCCCAATATATACTCGGAGAGCTATCGATTCGAGAGCATTAACGAGAGAAAAGAACGGCAGTCAGCAGAGCAGAGAAGACGGCCTAGCAGGGCGGCTGTCGGCCGGCAGGGCGGGACAGTCTCTGTCAACTACAGACACCCCCCCCCCTCTATCCAGCTATAGGCAGACACTTGGTGAGTTGAACATTAAGGTGACTTGGTCGTGTGTACATATGTTGTGTGATGATCAGGGGCAGTCAAGTTGTAGGGTTCTCAAATTCTTGGATGATGACTCACTTTGCATATTAAACTGGAACATTTGAATTGCTTAAATTATGATAGCTATCATGTGAAATATAATTGAATTTATTATTTAAATTGTGATTAACTTTGTTTCCTAGAGCTTTGAGTTGAGATGAGAAAGCCTCTGCGGTTTCATGATTTAATGAGTACATGATAAAGATGGGACATACTAATAATGAGCTCTTGATAACATCTTTTGTGAATCTTGTGATACAGACAAGTTCCATTCCTTGTCTTGTATGTAATGGTCTTGAATGGATGGTGGCAGCATTTCCTATTTCTCCTTCTACTATCTACTCTTCTACTATCTACTCTTCTACTTCTACCTACCTACACCTCTCCCTCCACCCCCTCTCTAAACTCTCACTTTCAACTAATGACCCTCCTCGCTCCTCCCACCACTCTACCTCTCACCCCAAACCCTCACTAATTACTTCATTATTCATTTCTTTCCTTTCGTTTTCTCTTATACATTTGTGACAGTGAAACGTATTCTAGAGTTCTCTAGAGTTTCGGGTAGCTGATCAAGTTACGGCGCTTTGTAGTCTTAGCACCTAGGTAGTCAAATACCTAGGTTACAAGGTGTTGAACGAGAGAGGTTGCCTTAGGAACTCTGGAGGTGCTCTAGAATAGTTAGCTAACTGAGGACGGGATAACGGACTAGAGAGAGCTGTTTCCCCCGGACTCGTTAGTTAACTGGGGGGTGGAATAATGAACAAAAGAGAGCTATTTCCCCCACCCCCCGTTACAATGATAGCAGGCGGGCTGTCCACCTTGCTAACACCATGTTACACCACTTCCCCTCCCACCTACACCCACTCCCCCTCCCACCTACACCCACTCCCCCTCCCACCTACACCCACTCCCCCACCCACCTACACCTACTCACCCATCCACCTACACCCACCCACCTACACCCACTCCTCCTCCCACCTACACCCACTCCTCCTCCCACCTACACCCACACACCCACTCCCCCTCCCACCTACACCCCACCTACCTACACCTACTCCCCACCCACTTACACCCACTCCCCCACCCACCTACACCCACTCCCCCTCCCACCTACACCCACTCCTCCACCCACCTACACCCACTCCGCCACCCACCATTAGAGGGAGGAGAGCAGTGTGAGGGGAGCCTCGGACCCCGACCAGTATCGTGATGGCTTGTCCTGCTCTCCCAGTATGACGCCCTTGTGAGGCCCGGGGCTCCACCACCCTGTAGTATGAGGCCCTTATACTCTCCCTTGACACCACCACACAGTGTGAGGCCCTTATACTCCCCCTGGACACCACCACACAGTGTGAGGCCCTTATACTCTCCCTTGACACCACCACACAGTGTGAGGCCCCTATACTCTCCCTGGACACCACCGCACCGTTGCCACCATTGTACTAACTATCATGCACTCCGCTGCTACCCTTGTAATAACTGATGCTCTACTGATCTTGTACGATGTTAACACTCAGGCTGGCATACGAGGACCTAAACAATTAATAATATATATATATATATATATATATATATATATATATATATATATATATATATATATATATATATATATATATATATATATATATATATATATATATAAGATGAATAGGAAAACCAGGGATATACTGAACATCTTGTTTCAGATTCTTTACTTTAAAATGCATAACGTTTCGAATACTTCTCGTATTCATCATCAGATCTAAAAGAAAAAAAAAAACAGAAATCACAATCAAATAACTGGTAAACAAAGAACTCATACTGAATACAATTGCCTATCAAACAAAGGTAAATGATTAAAAAAAAAACTTAAGCTTACTTAAAGTGATCAATACAAATAAAACTTAATAACTGTCACATAAATAAAAGCTAATTAAAAAATCCATTAAATTACAAGAGTAATTTTATAACTACTAAAACAAGCCACACTATTAAACTTACGCGAAGTGATTAACAGGAGTGAAACTTGACAGTTAACACATGGGTACTAAACACTATTACAAATATTCATATAATGACTACAATTCTACAAAAAATGTATATAAAATGCAAGCAGAATAAGCGACAATTATAAAGTACTAACCAAAATCTTATAAAAACTCAAATATTAAACAAATCTAAATACCAAAAAATGTATTATATATCCTAAATAAAAGATTATACAAATGTACAATGTCAAGACTTAAAATAAGTAAGAAAAGGCAAAGACATGGAAAACTAAACATAATTATAATAAAATTAAACTGCCAGAATGAACTATAAATCAATTTACAGGTCCTACTGTGCACTATACAGTGTACAATTGAACCGCCGAAAGGTTGCTATTTAACAGAGGCCGCAGCTCTTTTATATATAAGGATTCCATTACTCTCAAATCTGACTGGCCATTCATACAAGTGTCCAGAATTTTAAAATCAGATTCCAGCAGAGAATGATTAAACTCATAACAATGGTTTCTAATCTCCGAAAATGCTGGTTTAGACAATGGTAATCCAGTCTTAAAAGATACTCCCCGGTGCTCAAGTATCCTAATCTTAAAGTTCCGAATGGAACTTCCGATATATCCAGCATTACAGCTAGAACAATTATACATATATACGACATTAGAGCACAGGGGGGTAGGCACTTTATCTTTAAATTTAAAATAAGAGCCTATGGTATTAGTGTTGACAAAAATAAATCTAAAGTCTACTTGAGGATAACAATGCTGTAACAGTTTCCTCAAACGACTCCTTACAGAAAAACTAATAGTGCTTTAAAATGGTAATTTAATATATTTAATATCCCTTTCTGCTGTAGTAATCCTACACGATGGGTGAAACTTCTTATATAAGAAATTCTTTAAAAAGGTATAAACCATATGCACAGGATAACCATTACTTGAAAAAAATTTCACAAGAAAATTAATTTCTTGATCAAAGTTATTCCAATTTGAACATAAAACAAAGACCCTATTCAGTAGAGTATTAATTGCATTTTTCGTAAAAATATCAGGAACAATAGAATTAGAATTTAAACCTAAACCAGTAAAAGTCGGTTTTCTAAAAATATTAATGTTGAACCCATTAAGGTTATTTATTTATTTATTTATTTATTTATTTATTTATTTATTTATTTATTTATTTATTTATTTATTTATTTATGCATATACAAGAAGGTACATTGGGAATGTGAGGATACATAATATGGTAATTACAATCTTGTAAAGCCACTAGTACGCGCAGCGTTTCGGGCAGAAAACTTTGACATCAAGAAATGACAATGAATGATCAACTTCACACTCTGCAGTAAACCGTATATTACTATGTTGTGCATTAAGATACTCTCTAAATTTCTCAATATGACATTGGTCCTTAAATAACAAAAAAGTGTCATCTACATATCTCCTGTACAAGACTGGTTTAAAGTCCAAAGGACATTTAT